TTTTCATTTTTACACGAGATGCAGAAATTCCTTCGAGAATGCTTCCTACCTTCGTTAAAAACGATTTTGTTGAGACGCCCTTCCTCCCACCAATCTTCTGACGAAGTATTTTCAACAGTTGATTCTTGAGGCGTTCTTTTTCAGCTTTTTTCTTCATCATTATATCGTGTTCCTTTCGAACATCGTCCAGCACTGCTTCAAATCTGAACTTCCGCTTCCTTTCAAATCTCGTAAAAACTCTTCAATTTCGCTCGCTCTAGAAATGAGGAACTTGAATGCTGGATGGATTATTCGTTCAACTAGGAATCTTTCATGATGTGAGAAAGGAGCGTTTGTCAACACTGCTAAATCAGATGTCTCGGCATCCAAAAACCGTGATATTTTATTTTTTCAATGACGAACGAACAAATTGCATGTGAACGTACGTTTTCCTTGTTGATTTTCCCTTCACGGTTTGTACCAAGCTCCGAAGTGTTTTTGCAATGAAACCAAACGGAGTGAGTTCGTCGTTGGCGGTTTTCAGTTTATACGAGAGTTTTGAACGTACGACCGATCGCTTGTAACGTGTCATGAAACCACCAATCCAACGATTGAACGGTGTTTGTGGTTTGTGTTGTGCTCGTGACGAGGACTTAGGCTTAGATTTCGAGTCGGTTCTGGTTGAATCCGCTTCATTGCGCACTGCCATTCCCGAAACGCCGATCGCATCCTCATGCGGAACCCATTTTTGCCAGAACATTCGCTTTTGTTGTATTGAATTCAGCGCACAGATCCTTTTTATCTTATGCGCTGAAATGCACTCATACGTGATGATATATGCACAATCCTTGTAATGCAATTCGCTCAGCCCTCATCGAGTTCCTTCTTCAGAAACGTTGCGATAAAGAAAACTTCAACATATAGTGCCTACTGTTTTCACACAGTCTTGTGCAGTTCCTGACCGAAGCAAGTCTCCCATTATTCTATAGCTTGAATGTGTACTATGAACTGAATGTGAAGTGAAATATGATACTGATCAAAAGTAGGCATTCTCGTGTGACATTCTCAGTGAAATATCCGGATGAAAAGTATGGAATATTGCTGATTCCAACTTTTGAAAGGATCGTTCTCATTTTCTAGCAAGCTTTATGAAGTCACGGAAAAGAGAAGTTCGTCCGAAGTTTTCAAGCTGATTACATCCAGAATAGATGTCGCTAAAAATTACTGGCTAACCACGTAGTGGTAGAAGTCGTTTTGCTTCCACAGCTTCCATCACATCATTCACGCATTTCGAATGTTTATAAATGGTATCTGCTTTCTGAGAGCAACTGTAGAATCTGCGTTTGTGATATTCGTTCAGCTTTTGAGCCCTGAAAAGCGTTTCATATGAACTTCTTGTTGGCGCATCGGTTCGAGAACAAGGCTTCTTATGAGGGACTAAAGGAATTAGTCCGATCTCGTGAATATAAACAATTAAAGTTGGTCAACCTAATGCAATTCCTGAACGCTTTCGGTATGATTCGGAGATGGGATTTTTGAGAGCGAATGCACCCAGCTGATAGTTACTGGTCTTGTGATGGATGCAATCAAGGAAGCCTATGATGTTTTCAGCGCAAAAGAATATGGAAATGTGAGTGCGTTGAAGACGGACGATGTGTTTGCTATGTATGTTGCATTAGTGTTGTTCACACGAGATTAATGATCAAATTTTACGAATATTTTGCGGAAATAATCTGATTGATTGTCAATGGCAACATGATGATTTATTGCTCTATTCGCACTCTCGGAATGAAAAGGTCACACTCATTGCGATTTATTCCATTTGGAAACGTTTAGTAAGACGCTGCTTCAGTTACTTCAGTTCTTGCAAGCTCGTGTTGAGTATGGAACAAAAAACAAATCGCCTTTTAGAACTTCAATAAATTTGTTCATTCACTCATCAAGGCAGAAGATTTCAGCGAGCAAATACATCGAAATCATGTCTGATTTGTTTATTGCTGACTGTTCAAGAGGCTGTGTATCATGCAGAACGCATTCAGTGGGGTGTTTCATTGGGAATCCGATGCAATTTCGGATTTATATTGTCGTATGTGAAAAAAGCTAACAATATCAATGGTAAGCTAAAATTTCAAATTAGCTGATCCCAATCACTGAAGACGATTTCAGCTCTCTCCGACAGAAATTCACGCTCAAATACCAAATTTATCAAATGAAAACTGTTACTTAGCGGTTCCAACCGATGCCATAATGCCACTGAGCCCTTGATGAACCCAATATTTGTACATATTTTCAGTCGATTCATCGGATATAGGTAGTGCAATCTTTTTACCATCATAATAGTGAGCCAACGGCATATTCTG